CTGGGCATACTTGCAAAGCATACAATGAAGATTTTTTCTTGTCTTGTTTGTTTAGATTTCATAACTGAATTTGAATTTGAACAGACATGCTAAGTTAAATTTGAACAAAGACATAACTGAATGATACGACAGAACTTTCCTTTTTCACTTTCCGTATATCTTCCCGCGCGTGCAGAGAACGAAAAAGGCGAAACTGTGAGTTAGAGAGAGACTTACTTTGCGCTTCTTGCTAATCTGAGTCGCCATGTTTCGGGGTGATCAACAGGTAACAGCAAGAAATCACGGATGATTTCTTCGGCGCTTGGCTACTCAAGGAAACCCTAGTGCTCTGTGACGGCGGCCATATAAATGTAAAATATATGCATATATAAAATATATCGGACGAGAACTAACAGGTTAGTTGGGCTAAAAGATAGGCGTCTAAAGTTTGGGCTTACAGTTAATTAAAAGATAAAATGAACCAAAAGTTTTAACCTCAAAATTATCTTCCATAAATTAAAATATTTTTTTATTTTCTAAATTTATATAAATTTTACAATATATTTATGCATGAAATTATGTAGAATATGTGTTCTTATAAAACAATTAATCAACAAATGAAAATAATTTTTTAAGAACGACTAAAAAATAACATCTTAAAAATTTTCAAATTCTATTGCTTATTTTCTCCATCTCTTTTTTTCTTTATTAAATAAAATATATATTTTGTGAATTCTTTTACTCAGCCAGTACAAATAACACAAAATATAATGTAAAAACAAGTCAAATTCCAGATACACACAAGTGAAGATTAAAACTTCTCATGGCAAATAATAATAATAATAAAATAAAGTACCAATAATAAATGAGTTAAAAAATTAAAAATAAATAAATAAAAAAATTATGACAATGATAATGATAAATAAATTATGAAAAATAAAGAAAAGTACTAAATAAGATTCCATATAGAAATTATGACGGATTGTATTGTTCCTTCAAAAAATTATGGCTACACCATCTCATCACATCAAGGCATAAAGCATCATTTCCAGCTCCCTGGATATCAAGAAAAAAAAAGAAAAATTGCAAGAGAGGGTTTCTGAATCTACAAAGAAAATTGTTACATTCCTAATCCTATAACCTGAATGCATTATTTGTTTCAAAAATACATGGTGATCACAGCATGCTTATACTGATCTCATATACAAGACCTACGCGACATTCACAGGCAAAAAGAATCAGATGCAACTATGACAACCATGATCAAGTAGAGGACTCCATATTCCAATCCTTTTTTCACAAGATTCAACTGTAACCAAGTCCAAGGTGTTTCCCCTTGAGAGGCACAAGTTGCTTGTTTTTGGTTGTTCTTTTCTTCTCTTAACGAGCAGCCTGAGATACTCAATGAGTTTTCCATGCACCACTTGCTAGAAGTCAGAATGGTATAAGCAAACGAGGCTTGAATGAGTTATGGAACTACGGCAGAGAGGGCATTCAGGCTTCTCATTGCACCATTCCATAATGCAGTTCCTTCATGGATAGAAACCCGAGAAAGTCAAAGATGGCTTTATGAAAAAATTTGTGTTCATGGATGATATGGCCAAGCAAAAGACGAAATCAGGGACTATACCAGCAGAATACGTGACCACATGGGGTAGCTGTTGGATGTTGACGGCTGCTCAGGCAGAGCGTGCATTTGCTGACTCCACCTGCAGCTTGAGCCTGAAAATATAGAAAATAGGTACCAAGTTTCATACCAACAGGAGAAAGGGGAGAAGGGAGTTGAAAATAAAGCAGCAGAGAAAATGTGAAAATTTCTATCTAATTTAAACCGGTAACATTTGAAGGAAGGTTATTCAGGATTGTATATTATATCACACGGATGGCACGGCAATCTCTCTCATTTTTGCTCTCTACTATCTTCCTAGTTTACTTAACCCATAGCTTCTAAGTATTGCATTACTAAGAATTTTGATATAAGAAACATGTCATACCTCCAAAGATGATGAGGAATCAGGGATCCAGGTCCCCTTTTCAGCTTCTATAGGTATCAAATTGCCTTCTTCATTCAAGACTGGCAAACCTCGCCCTACAAATTTGTTGGGAGAAACTGTGGTCAAATAGTATAGTGAATCAATCTTACGTGAACCAAATAAAAATATTATTTAAGTAACTTCATCTGAGAATCCTCTTTTCATGAGCCTGAGAACACTTTGTTTAACGATTAACAAGGTGAAATTTTGATTATCTGATTATGAGTTCTATTAGTCAACATCTGTCATCATGAAGCCCGTGAATGGAATTTATGTTTAGCTCCAATCAACAACTACAACCGATAACCTGAATGCAAATTCTTTTTGATAACATGCTATTCACACATAAAGAGTCAGTTTCCATCTTCAAAGTAGCCACATGATCCAGCCAGTCACAAAGAATTTGAAGCAACATAGAATGAGTTTAAAACTGTCAACCTGATGAAGTTTGATTTGATCCTAATGATGCATGATGAACTGAAGTAGCAATAGATGATAAATTGCTACGCCGCAAACCTTCAGCAGCAATGATACAGAGCTGAATTAAAAGAAAAATGCCCAGAATTTGGTATCTGCTTCAGAAGCCAATAAAAAGAGATCAAAGACTCCACTGGTATCTATAAGCACTGAGAAACTTACATGCACTGTGCACTGAACATTTAAATAGGAGAAACCACACTAACAACCACATGTGGGAAGCGAAAACCAAACCTGGGCCTTTGATTTGATGGTTTCCCAATGAATACGTAACGAATGCCAGAAGCACGTTTTGAAAGATGATAATATAGCCCTGCAGATAGAAAGAATCTCAGAAAAGAAACATTTTAAGCCTTCATCATAGCTTGCAATAGACTTGCTTTCATAAATTACCTTCAAAGTAGAAGAACATGAGGTTAGCACGAAGAATCAATTGTAATAGTTCACGAGCAACAGGGAGAACCTGAACATAACAGCCACAAGGAAATTTTTAAAGAAGCTTCTACAAGATTTCCTAGTAATATATGCAGTGCTATTGTAATGCAAAAACACCATAAGATAAAAGGGGGAGATGTGGAAGCTAAAGAAAAATATATCATATATCACTCAAATTATTTTAAAATTAAATAAGTAGAAGTAATAATCCATTTCAAAGTAGGAAAGAGAAGACATGAAGGAGCTTATTCCAGGAAACACATGCTCAGTCCAGAATTTATCAGTCAACTAAAGAAAAAACTCATAAGCATTATAACTTAATGATATTATACCGCTGGCCATCTCCGAACTGCAGAGAGCCATAGTGTCTTCCACTTCTCTTTGAACCTCTGTAATGCAGAAGCTCTTGATGCAGATGGTGATGGAATATCAATTATTGTGGGAGATTGAACATGACTGCTCCATTCTGGTGCATTGCCCGAGTAGAACTCACCAGTATGAGCTTCTGCGAGAAGGATGCCATGGGAGGCAACTCTAGAGCTGTGAAAAGAAAACTTCCTAAATTTCCTTGAATTCAGATAAAGATACATTAACTTACTATCAATTAGGCAATTATAGATAAATGAAATATCAAAATGTTGAGAAAAGCATAAAAATGCCAGGCACCTAATTCTTTCTGCAATATAAGGCACAGCAGTCTGATACAAAATGAAGAGAGCACGCCTTGCAGGTGTTGGGGAAAGTCCATAAGGTCCTGCTACCTAAAAAAGATGGATAACCCATCACAAACAAAAAACAAAGAAGCAAAATATAGCCGAGAAAATTTCAACAGGTCCAATGCACTTCTCTCAGACACATATACTGCATTGAAACTTCAACAACCATTGAAGGAGCTCGCATTATTTGAGGATTATCAGAATCTACTCTTAATCAAATGAGATTATTTATATTGTTTTATCAATACTAGAGCCAAAGAGGTGCTTTATGTAAAGTACAAACATAATCTCTCCTAGTCTTATGCAACTTGCATGCAGAAGAAGAAACTAAAGCCATAATCTGTATCAAATTCAAACTATGACTGAAATTGACATTGGAGCATGGATACCTGAGTTATATCACAGTATTCTTCCCCGAGTGTCTGCTGCCCTGATCCCGTAGTCAAGACATAATAAAGCATCTGACCAAGAAGCTTTGTCTACAAGAAGGATATCCCAAAATAAATAAATAAATAAATAAATTACTATTGCAACAAACCATAACACTCAGCAAAAGATTGAAAAGAATACTGCACTGCTTCTATGTTGTTAATTGATGATACTCTAAACCAAAAACTAAAACTGTGATCAAGAGTTGACAAGTTTCAGTCGGGTTTATTTGCACAAAAATGACTAGAAGTGAACTAACCTCGTTCTGGTAAGCTACAGCGAGTCTTGTACCTAAAACCATTGAAGCGTTAGACGATTAAAATGACAAGAACGGAGTCAATCCATAGCCGAACTTTCTTGCAGTTAAAAATCAACCAAATAACTCAAAAGTGTTGAACTTGGAAGGAATTTGATTTAAAATTAAATTAGAGAAAGTAAGAGCTGAGATAGAAACAAGGGAGAAAAAGTACCAAAGAGATGGCGAAAGGCGTCACGGCAGGCATCGTAGACGAAAGAGGCGTACTGATCATCTTTCTCTGCTGCTCTCATTATTTCGGGCTGGGCGGCCAACGGAAACCGCCGTAGCTCGACGGCGGTAGAGCCCGGATCTCCGCTGGGTCCCGGGTCTCCCGAACCCGGTTGCCCCATATCTCCCTAAATTCTTCTCTTCCTCTCTCTAGCTCTGAAAGCT